AGTACCCGCATACTAGTGCCCCAGAGCGTACATTTTGATGCTTTGCCTTCAAGATCCGTAAGTATAAGTCATCAAAATTCAAGATTTAAACGCCCTTCATGCTCTCTTCCTGATAGGCGAATGCGGAAGGGGAAGGCATTGGTCCGAGTGATAGTAAATGCCAATAGCAACCAATGACTGCTGAGACTATTGATGCCACCCATTTCGACAGTTATTATGCTTTTTTTGCAGCTAGTGCAATGCGAAAAAAGCATATTGACGAGAGGTTGTCTCTGTGTGTGCATGTGTGTGTATGTGTGTGTGTTTGTGTGTGTGTGCGCGCGCGCGCTAGGCCTCTGTACCGATCTTCATCCCGAGACCGACAAAAGCTACAGGGCTGAAAATTTGGGGACTTAATCTACATGCACGTACGCGCCCCCATCCAAAAAACGGGCGATCCTACCCGCGTGGTACCCGCGTACGGGCCTGCCAAATTTTTTTCGGATAATTTGATAACTCACGAACCAGAAAAGCTAGAAAGCTGAAATTTTAAGGGGATGTTCCCCGTCCACATTAGTCTCAATGAGCTCAAACCCAGACATCGAGTATACGTGGTACCCGCGTGCGGGCTCGTGAAAATTTTTTTCCAGTAGTTTGCTAACTCAGCAGCCAAAAAAACTAGAAAATTGAAGTTTTAAGGGGGTGTTTCCTGCCAGTTCTGGCGGCCATTTTAATTTGTTTAGCTAGAAGCACTTGCGGAAAAAGTCGGTTCCGATAGCGACAAAAACTGCGGGGAAGTATGCAAAAAACGCATCTTCGCATGGGCAGCCCGTGAGATGGCCAATTATTTATTTTTTAATATTCTCCTCAAACTGAATGAACAAATCGTAGAGAGACTGGTCGTTCCAAAGATCAATTTTCAGCAAGCAAGCAGCACTACTTGCCACTGTAGCACGCCCGCTAGCGTGTGATAAGACGATGATCAAAATATTTGTTTCGGAAACAGAACTCGGTCGCCAGTGAATAAGTAGCGGCAACTACACGAACCATTTTCCGAGTGCTTCCGAATGCAGAATACCCACATAGACGCAAGCACACACGAATGTATGTGAGCGTGCACGGTTTCACCATGATACATTTTTGGCTGTTTTAGTTTTGCTAGAAGTTTTGCTTAAAACAAGGACGGATGATTGTAGCGCGAAAAACGCAGCTTTTAATCAAGAAACTCAGTTTCAGTGATGCGTAGAAAGTTCTCAAAATGAGACACTGCTCGTTCGGTTTCAAATTAACTCATACATTTTGGAATTAGCGCTTTGTGCTTTTGATAATAAAAAAAAAAAAATTACGAATAGTTTCAACAAATTATAAAACCCTCCAGATGAATGGCAAGTCCACGACGGCCTGTTTTCAAGGCTGTGTCAATCGCGCTTAAAATGTAGACGTGTATTACCAATATAAGAATTGCGCAGCAATATCTGTACTGATTTTTCATCTCGAGACCTACAAAAGCTACTAGCCTGAATCTTAATCTACATGTACATACGGCCCTCTCACCAAAATGGACGCTCTTACTCGCATGGTTCCTACGTGCGAATCTGTAAAAGTTTTCACGGGTAAGTTGCTAACTCGACAGCCTGAAAAGCTAGAAAACTGGAATTTTAAAGCGATGCTCCCCGTACCCATATGAATTAGTGAGTTCAAACCCAGCCTCCAGGTGAGCACACTTCCAGTGTACGACTCCGTGGAAATTTTTTGCGCGTACACTGCTAGCTCGGGAACCAGAAAAGCTAGAAAGCTGAAATTTTAACCGGATGCTTTCTGACATTCGTAGTGGTCAGACCTGATTCTTTTAGCTAGATGCATCTTCTGAAAAAAGCAGTGCTGTTAGCGCCAAAAACCTGTGGGGAACTATGCAAAAGACGCATCTTCGCACTGGCAGCCGATATGCTGGTTAATTATTATCTTCAAACAATGTTCAGCAATCCTACACCCTTTCTCCGGTCAGAACTTCCGTGATTCAAACTACCACCCCACATCCTCATCCCTTCTCCTACCCGCCACCCCGCCCCCTCTCCCACTCATCTCAACCGCTCCTCCCAATCATCTCAAA